CATTTTACTGATGGAACAAAATACAATAATTGCATATGTGCGCAGGCGCCCAGAACTAGGGTTTGCCAAACGCGGCAACCGTCCCTGGCACAGATGATAAAGGGACGCATATCCTGCAATTGAAAGGACATAATCACTGAATACTGTCAGTCTGTAAACAGGCCGCAAACCGGTGTCTTGTATGCTTGATTTGGTTGAAAATTTATTATCACTAGCTTTTTGTTTATTTGTTTGTTTCTCGGGTCTAGAAACCCTTGGAGTGGGGTTTGGTCCCATAAAATGTTCTGGGATGCAGTAGAAGCTAATCACTTCTGTGTGTGTGTATACACACAAAAGCATGTTTATATATGGGAGTGCCGGCCTTAAAAATTACACTAAAATATGCAGGGCGTTGATAAACACAGACATCACTTCACAAATAATTTCTGGTTCGATTATTTATACAGGATCAGTGTCAATTAAAGGATTAAATGCCATACCCGAATTTGACCAAGACTGCTATGGAGTAAGAACTTGTGTTCGGGCCAAAAGCATGTGCGTCCTGCTACCTCCATACCTGCACCAAAGAAGCATGATAGGTGGTTCTATTGTTTGCGGCGCAAAGATGGAACGCCATGAGAAGTGCAAAAACCACAGAACTGCTTGTTCCTCCACGTAGCACACAAGCCTGTAGACAAGTTCACTGGTTGCCAACAGGTGGGGAGCATACCGTTGCTAGGATCCTACATCCCGTCTTGCCGGAACGTCTCCCTGATAGCAACAACTGTTTCAGAGTGAGGGCCCGAAAATTAACTACGTTTCGCATCCTGATTATCTACTTTCCTGAAATCGTTTGAATGATAACTTATCCTTGTCCATACCAATATTTTGGGCTTCTTATTTATATCATCGGAGCTACATGGCCAGCCCAGCCTCTTGATTTAACTAATACAGTAACGGGTATTGGTCTTAACAAAAAAATAAAATTAAAAACAGGAAGCAAAAATTGAAAGTGCGGAAGTGAAATTCTTGAGAAGTGTAGCAGACTACTCAAGGAAGGGTCAAATAATAAATATTAACATTATGGAAGAGCTTAACATCTTTAATCTAAATTATAAAATTATGAAACCCAGGTAACAGTGGAAATATCACGTGCAACGAATGGAAGACAGGCGGGTTCAAAAGAAATTTCTGACATACAGCCCATAAAGAAGGCGAAATTATAGGACGCCTACAGTTAAGATGGAGGGCCCAACATACTCTTCAAGAGGAAGAAACACACCACGCATGGTCTAATCCATGAAGACGTTGATGTTGAATAGTGTCTGTATAGGTTTTCATCTTCCTTATTATGTGATCTGATAAATTTTACATTTAATTCATAAGTCTAAATATTATCCCCGGTACATGTTACCCCGAGGATGGCAGACCGCAATCCATAACCACGCACGAGTTACCAGGAGGAGGCGCAGTCTTGTGAACACGGCAATGAACCTTTTCTGGTTAAGCAAAAGGCAAGGAATCTCTTGGCTAAGTGGGTAGCTATTATCTTGTAATAAAGAATGTACTATTTGTCTTTGAATAATTCTCTATATTATTAACGTGGATATCCCTTGATTTTATTGTTTACTGTGCCGTTTTCCATAACATTTCCACGGATATGTCTCCTCTATCTTCAATTATTTGCTTTCTACATTTCTTTCGCAAGTACAATATTTCCTCACTAATATGAAATATTTTGTTCTGAGAAAGTACAAAGCACAAGAAAGAAAGTGTGGGCTACGTATAGGCCCCACAAGGACATTGTGTTATAAATATGAAGATCCCATATGCGTAGGCCTAATGAATTTCCGTATTGCTATTTAGTAGGCCCTACCAACTAACTCACTAACTCCATGGAGCTAAGCCCTTCTTGAGAAGCCGCCAGTTACGAAGCCACTCAAGAATTTCCAAATTTTATGGAGCCAGAATTTCGTCACCGTGTTCACAAGTGCCCTCCATCGATCCCTATTCTGAGCCAGATGAAAGCAGTGCATACCACCCAATCTTATATCTCTAAGATCCATTTTAATATCATCCTCCCACCTATACCTAGGTCCTAGCATTATTGTATAATAAGAGATGGTACTTGTTAATCTGAAAACTATGTAAGATTTGAGGTTTCCACGACGGTGACTATGAAGAATGTCGTCTTCTGTGATGTGACGCAGTGTAGACATTGTGTAAACCGATGTTCCTCCGAAACATCGGTTTACATAATATCTACACAGCACCTCATCCCAGAAGACGGCATTCTTCAATCTGAAACTTGTCTCATATTTAACCTAGAAAATCGCGATCGAAATTTCCACTGCTATAAATCTTCAAATCTCTTACACTACTGGCATATTTCTTTTAAAATTCGGAGCCCATGATGTGCAGGAAGCTAATAAATACAGTATTCTGGTTACTGGCGCGGTACCTCCGATCCAGAAGGCAAGCCGTGCATCATAAAATCCCACAGTTCACGAGACCATTCTTCTTCCTTGATGGAATATCTTAGTGTAGAGGCATGAATGTTTTAAAATAAAATTTACTTTTCTTTGTGTCCATCAATATTGTGTCTTATGTCAAAGAAATCTGTTATATAAAATTGTAGGTTCTCACAGCGGTGATTATGAAGAGTATAATCTTCTGAGGTATAACGGCATGTAGTGAGTTGAAAGTCAACCACAGAGCAACATACCATATCCATCTTCAGGGTCGAAGAATAAGCCGAGCAAGACACGTCGGTTGATTTTCAACGGAATAAACGGCATTATATCTCAGAAGATAGTACTCTTCAATCCTGTTATATTTTCACGGAGCAGAGGTTGCACTTATTATTTATTGTTTCGTAACATTTGTGTTGAATTTAATCAAAACATGCCTACAGGGACTGGACAGAGCCATGATAATTTGCTGGTCTCCTAGCAGTTAGTCTGCACAGTAGTGTTAGTATGTACTGTAGAACAATACAAGAGGCAGTTCACTGAGCAGACTGCTTTCAGGGCTGGAGTGATGAGAACACAGTAAAATATCTCCAGAGGCAAGAGGCAAAACACAGGTGCCAGCAGAGACTAGCTACGGACGATAATCCTAGAAAGGTAAGACCTTGCCTTCCTCCATCTCTTTGCTGCAGCAACGTGGCCTACTTAAATATACAATGAAATTATATTACGGGGGAACGAGGCAGCATGGTTGGTTGAGGCTCTATGCTACAAGCCGCAAGGTCGCGGGTTTGATTTCCAATGAGGTAATTGAATTTTTCAATTTACGTAATCCTTCCAACCTCACTGTGGCCCTGGAGTCGACTCAGGCTCTAACAGAAATGAGTACCAGGAATCTTCGGGGGGGGGGGGTTAAGGGCAACCGGTGTATAAGGCTGACAACCACACCGCCGTCTGTGAGCTGATTAACTAGAAAATGTTGGAGCCTCGACGTCCCACAACCCTATGGGCTCCACGGTCTGTTACAGGTGCAGCTTTACTTTTTTATGAAATTATATTACAGAGCAATTCTGAAATATGGAGTTTTTGCTGCAGCCGCGGCTAATCAACTGTTCACTATAGAGTTCTGGCTTAGGGTTCCGATATGCTTGATAAATACGGGAAGGGGAAGAGTTTTAAGATGTTAGAAAACAATTAAATAAAATCACATTTTGTTACGATACTACATTCAAAAATAAAGTGTGCAGCTGACATAAGGTTTTGCTAAGGGAAGAAATCTGAAGTCTCTTGGAGCCTTAGGCAATGTTCCTAAAACACGCGGCGGCAATTACTTATTTAACTCAGACCAGTTGCCATTCATTGTGGCTTGCATATAGTCCGGATCTCTTATTCTTCTTTTTGGCCAAAACGAATATTAAATGCGTTACTTATGTCGTGCCATAGCTCAGGCACTTATTCGCCCCCTTCCAATCGCGGGAAATCAATTTATGTGGGATTTGTGGTGGACAAAGTGGCACTGGGGCAGATTTCCTCCGAGAACTTCGGTTTTCCCTGCCAGTTGTCATTCCACCAAATGATCCATACTCTTCTAGCATCAGGGGCTCGCACAATAGGCTAAATAGCGGCCGACATATCAATTGGACTCAGTCTCAACCCACCCCACGAAACTTAAAGAAAAAAGAACTACATAGGTTCAGGAGCGCACGGTAACATATATTCTGTTTCGAATTGTGCTTTTAGTCTGTCCCGACATAAATACATTCCAGCTATTCTTCCCGAGCACGGAAAACCGTAATCAGTGATCTGGGAATAACGCATTGATATGGACATTGCATGTAAGGACAGTTAATACGAGAATATTGGATATGAGAAAACACGGCGACACAAAATCAGGCAGACACATATAAAACTGATGCTGAACTACAGTAACGTAAGAGCTAAAGGCAAAATTTATAAATTAAAAATTGTATTATTGTACTTTAATCAATATAACATTTTAATATATTTAAAATTTGAATTGACGAATTAATTTTTTTTTTAATTCGCTTAGTGGCGGGTGGAGTTCAACTGGGTCCACTCGGCACGGCGGCCACTGATTGGCCTGCCCCGGGTGATTATGATGATGAAGAATTTGGTGGAATGAAGATTGGCAGGGGAAACCGAAATACACGGAGAAACCCCGCCCCAGCGCCACTCTGTCAGCTACAAATCCCACTTGACCAGACCCGGGATCGAACCCGGATCGCCGCTGTGGAAAGCCAGCGACTAACCGCTTGAGCTATGGCGCGGCCAAATGACGAATTAAATATCTATATTTACGTATGAACACTGGACAGCCTAATTACACCACAGCGTAAGTTGAACCTACACAGAAATGTTCCGAGTCTCGATCAACGGACGAATAAATGCATGGACTGACGGAAGAACGAAGGAACGAAAGAAGAAAAAAAAAAGAATAAATGAATGTAAGAAATAAAGAAGGACGGAGACTGAACAATATATTTTATGATATTTCTTTTCATTTCACTTCGCTTGGAGAAGTCTAAGTTGGTTGCAGACCCCACTTCATTCCGAGAACACAGCAAAAGAGAAACCAAACTAGTAGCTACCTCCAAATGAAGAATGTTAACCTAACACAAACAGGCCACCTCCAGTGTAGACACAAGAAAGAGTTCGTTACAACCCAACCTCTCGCTTTGTCCCAGGTAAGGCGCAATCAATTCTAACGTGGTTGGTTTCCTTTGCCCAGGTTCTCGGGGGTGTGGAGCTTGTACCGCTGCTAGCTCGCAGAAAAGCAGGGAACGGGAGATATCCCCTTTCCACCACAGACGTGACCAGGACTGATCACATCAAGGGGTAGGTATGACTGGGCTCGAAGCAGGGACTACTGGTGTGTCGTGACTGATTCATTAGTGTTGACCGCGAATTTCCTCTGGTGGTTCATTTCAAGACGATGTCAGTATCTCACAATATCTCAGTGTTGGGTGGAAGGGTGATTGGTGAACAACCAAATGGAAAGGATTTGGAAGGAAGGGGTTTGGGTCTAATCGGCCATTTACGTGGAGAGACTAAAGAAAACCATGGAAAACTGCTTAAATGATATCCGGCCCAGTTTCGAACCGAGCACACCCCAAACACAAGCCCAGAGCCATTATTGTTTCATCATCAGCCAGCAGCAGCAGCATCATGGGATGTCGTGGTCCAGTTGCCGGCACTCCTCTGTTCTGTGTTCAAATATTGGTTTCAATACCGGCCATCCTAGGAATTGTAGTGGTTTTCTTCAGTCCCTCGAGGCAAATGCCGGGACAATACTTCAACTGCGTCACAACAACCTCTTTCAGTCACTTCCAATAGATTGATTTCAGCAATCGTCCTATAATTCAACTTTCTTTAATCCATTCTATTGAAAGTGTTGCTAAGAATATGTGAACACCTACCATTAGAGTTTCCACGATGACCGTGAATCTTAGTGACACATTAAAAGAAACCTCATATTTAAGCGGCCTCCGTAGTCTAGAGGTAACGTTCCCACCTCATGACTCGTGGTACGCGGGTTCAAATACTCGGCGGAGGTCGTCGAATTTTTAAGGGCGGAAAAATTCAGGGAACAAGTCCTCCGGGAGGGACTTTAAGCTGTGTGTCCCGTGTCGTAACTTTACGGCACGTAAAAGAACCTCATATCCCCAAAGGGGATCACTGAGCCAAATTCCAGGACGTTTCCCGCCCAACAATTGTCTCTAAGGCCTCTGATAGATGGGGGAAGCATTATAGACACCGCTAAGCAAGTGGCCGAACTCGCTTGCTCGGCGGGACTGATGGTACGCACAATTTATCGGTAGGGTAAAGAGACTGGTAGAATATCATAGAGGGAAGCACAATAGATCAAACTGGTCGCGGTGCATGGGGAAACCCACCCTCTCTAAATAACTAACTAACTAACCTCATATTTATCCATATGATAAAATATGTGCCCACGATATGGAGTTGTCATAATCTGAAACAGGTGACGAAGCCCAACATTCACTTCACCCTAACCCTACTGTTATGTAAGGTGACTACAGTCACACAGAAACAGAGAGAATTTTGTGTCGTCGCTTCAAACAGCTTTTAAAGTTTGTTGCGTGAGACACGATAAAAGAAGACAGTGAACATAGTGAGTTCTTGCCGAGCAAGAAGGTGATACTGGTCCAATATGCTTGTTTCAGGGCTGCAGATTGTCAGCGCCCTGCAGGCAACCACGAATACGTGCAGGGATTATCTCAACAAGTGTCTAGTAAGCAGCAGAGAGTCCAGGTATACATGAGCAACAGTCCTCGACCCGTCAATGGAGGTCACATAGCATAACTGCTATTTCATTCTACACAATATATCCAGAATATTAAATACAGAATCTGTACGAACCGACCCAGATAATATTTAAATAATATATACCATCACTATGTTCGGAATCTGTTAAAATCTACACCTAGTTTTCCTTAAAAAGGAAAGATAATAAATTTCACACCTTCTGCTTGAGTGAAAAATACCTGACTTTGATGGAAGGATTTGGAACTAAAACGTGTTTATATGTAAAAGAAATTTAACTAAAAGGGAAATGGTAATAACTACAAAACAAAAGACCTTGATTAACCTTTTCAACGATTGAGCAGCGAAGAGTGAGATGGTCGGGATTTATAATTTGCTCGAAGAAACTAAAAATAACATGACATATTTTTCTTTGTAAAACAGCAAGCTCGCCAAGAGGAACTGGAGAGCTGCAGACGCCATTTCGAAACCTGGCAGCAATTGTGGGGGCGCCCGGGGCACGGGGCCCCACGCGAAGTCAAGGTAAAGGGCAACATCGACGTCCTACTGCATCGCCTTCCTGTCAAGTGATGAGCTCGAAAGACTCTTGTATTTCTGACTATCAACTTCATGAAAATCCACTAGAATAGTAAAGATGCGCCTTGAAACTTTTAGACACACGAAGTTCTGTAGGTGCTGCCATCTCTTGCGATAGTTATAAAATTTGTATAAAACAGTATGACATTCTAGAAATATCTCATTATAATATGATGACGCCTCTTGAGGGTTTTAATTAGATCTTCGATTGTGCTACCCTCTGTTCCATTAATGCCAAACTTCGTGACAAATTTCAGTCACGGTGCAGTTATTGCCAGAACACTGGTTCATTTTAAAACTGCCTTGTGACATTTAGTCCATTTCGCTTTTAATATTCGTGAAACTCCCTGTACCGTGACATTGTTGAGGAAAATCAGAACTGTTCTTGTAACGGAGCATTCCTAGAAGAAGAATGCATGTGGGAGGTGAGCAGAACTCACTCCCATATCTATGAAGTAGACAGAGATTTAACGTTGGCGTTTATAGCAGTTTTTCTCGTAGCGTAGCGAGTCGCATAATGAAGTCCGACGACAGGATAGATAAATCAATCTTGCTGAAAGGCTGTGCGGTTACATGCAGGTCATGAGGTCGCTAGAGGCGAGGCACTGGTGTCAAAGTGAAATTGAACACAGATGTTGATTGACGGAGATTTTGAAAATCTGCACGTGTTCAAATATCACCAGCAGCAAGTGCAATGACAGGGGAAAAGGGAAAAGCCAATCGCATCACATAATTGCACAAACATATAAACAATATTTGTAAGTACATTCTGCTCCCATGATAGCAATATAGCGCACGGGCTTAGGCAACACATCAGCTGAAGTGTGGCTCCGTCTAGCGGGATTGGGAGGAACTAAATATTTGCGAATGACACTGGCAGAACATAATAGGATTTACGAGGATATAAAGAGCAGGTTGAAATCCGGAAATGCTTGCTACCATTCAGTTCAAAATGTTTTGCAGGTCTGTTTCTGTACCTTATCTAGAAACACGAAAGTCTCCCTAACCTAAGAGGAAGAACATAGACTCGGGATTTTCGAAAGTTGCATCCTCCATGGGTCTATAATTTGAATACACAATACAACTGTAATAATACTTCTAATCGTATCTGGTTGATGTTTTTAATTCTACTAGTACATATTTCGGTTCTGTCAAAACACGGGTCATTTAACCTTTCACGGAATTAGCCACTGTCCTTGCAATTTATGTACTGCAAACCTAACAAAACTGTGCTGGAACCGAAATAAGAAAACCAGCAAGATTTAAGTATTGTTAGCAATTGTGTTTTGTGACAAATGTATACCAATACATTCAGTCAGATATAAGGTTTCTGAGGACACACTGAGAAGGAAAATAAGAGAAGGATTGAGAATATCCCATGTTGAGGAGATTCATAATTTTAGCTCGTCAGAAATTATTATTCGGCTAAACAAATGAAGGAAGATGTGATGGGCGGGACTTGTAGAACTCGAGGAGAGATGAAGAATGCATACAAAACGATGTAGTCAGAAACCATGAAGGTAAGAGGCACTTGGTAGAAGCAGGCGTAGATAGGAAGGGCATTCTGTCAGGCAAGAAAACATTCGTCTGCTTCAGATTAGAATCCAGTAATGGGCTATTGTGAACAAGTTAATGAGCCTTCAATTTCCATAAAGGGCGGAGAATTTCATGACTAGGTGAAAGGCTATTTGCATCTGAAGAAGAATTCTGGGGTCTGGTCCATCATACTCATCATTGAGGCCAAGTTGTTAATCAGATCGGGGGTGGGGCAGTCTTATTAGAGAGACAGAAGTCAAAAAATGACAAGGCATATTCTGAATTGAGGAGACGGTGTGATTTGAGCTAAGCTGAGAGAGATTATTGCGATTGTATCCAGTTCCTCCAGCATCAAACCAGTTCAGGGGCTTTCATAATCATCACACCACCGTAAAGGAATAAAACAGAGGTTCTTGGACTGCACGGTTAGCAAGGTGTTTTGTCTGAAGCTGATGTTACGTGCGCCTAGGCCGCTGATGTGTATATCAATGGGGAATTATTTGTTATTGCAAGTTATCTTGGCCTTTATGGCTTCATTTCAAATAGAATTGATATAAGTTCACAATATTTTAATCACTTCTGTTTAATTCACAAATTTCTCCCATCCTGATACTAGGAATAGCGGCATTTGGCCATCACTTTGCTTCCGGAACAGTGACAACTTAATTTTCTTTAATTCGCTTAGTGGGGGGTGGAGTCCAACTGGGCCCACTCGACACGACGGCCACTGATTGGCCTATTGTAGCCTGCCCCGGGTGATTATGATGATGGAGAATTTGGCGGAATGAAGATTGGCAGGGGAAACCGAAGTACTGGGAGAAATCCCGCACCAGCGCCACTTTGTCCACCACAAATCCCACTTGACCAGACCCGGGATCGAACCCGGGCCGCCGCAGTGGGAAGCCAGCGACTAACCGCTTGGGCTATGGCGCGGTCACAGTGACAACTTAGGTCAAATGTGTACCAACCTAACTCAACTATTAATGCACAAATCCAAATCTGGGGTTAAAGCAAATTGAAGAAATTGTTCTTGGTCTAGCAACAACGGTGTTCATAAAACAAACAAATTGATTTGAATATGACCAGTGTGAAGCTAATTAACACGGGTATTTTGCAATTTTTACGATTTTGTAGATTGATAGAGCAACTAGCGAAGTTAGTTTTAGTACTTTAGTACTGTAGCCTAAGTAGAATGCAACACGTATAGATGTGTGGAGAATAGCGCACTTTGATTTGACTGCGGTGACTTAGTCTCAAGCTAAGACGTTTCCAGCCAGTCTCGGTTTGTATGTTAAGCTCTGGCCCCACCCATCCATATCTCTGGCTGTGCTTTAAGCGAATGTATAGATCAGCTTCCCAAACTCCTTTAATGTGATTCTCACTTGATGTGAATAATTTCTGATTGCCTCTAGCCTGCAAAATTTTACTGAAATATATTTGAGACGTTTCACAGAAATACTAGTTGTATTCTTATACTTTATGTGACCTCTAAAGATTAAAATTATTTGAACATTTTTATGTTCGGCCCATTTTTGACAGTCTTTGGGGAAATATCCACGGCCACTCGTGAGCCGTGTCTCGCAGTTTGGGAAATGCTAGTATAGCTAATACATGCGGCTTGTATAAAATCATTACTTTATATATTGCCGGACGTGAGTGCACATCTATCGACAAGGTTTCTGGCAGCGTAAATGTCACCTCTTGCACATGACATGAAATATTTTAAGTGGTGTTACACGGTACGGTGAAGAACTCTTGTTTCGCACTTTGATGCTCTTATCAGTCTCTGAGTAGTTCCTACAAACTGAACACTTCACAACCAGTGTTCTAGTGAAGGCTTCATTCTGATGAAATATCAACTGTTGCTAAGTTCAAAGTAGACGAAAGTGAAATCCGTTGAATAAAGGGACGCAGTATAAGATTTGAGGTTTTCACGGCGGTAACTATGAAGAATGCCGTTTTCTGGCTTCTATACGGCGCCACATCCCAGAAGACGGCATTCTTCGAGGGGCGTAATAGTTTGCTTGCTAATGCTGTATGTGTGTATACTGACAGCACAATAGGATTTTTCATAGATTTAATGACAAAGAACCATCTTATATGTTTATGCAATGTCGATACTATTTATGGAATATTAATAAATTCACTTGCAAGTAAACTTGGGTGACACATAACAGAATGCCAGAGTGAATAATTTGCTTTCTATTCACAATATACAGTCACAGTTTATGTAGCAATGCCCTGCTCGGTATGTGCAAAACTCTGCTCTGAGTATACCAAAATTAAATGCTGATGGAGACACGCAGTTCGCTATAGCTCTATTTCCGCTTTTTTACGAGACTTATGCAGACATGATCTGAAGCTCAGGAGATATCCGAACGCAAAATCTCTGTTAGTGAGCTCTTTAAGTGTGTTATGTCAACAGTTAAGCATTTAGCTCTGAGCTGTGGGGCTGTGGAGAAGGAAAGTTCTTCTAGGAAAAATACTTTGTGATATTCTTGTTGGTTAATATTTACTTATTGTTCTAAGTTTTGGTGTAGTGTAAGTGCTAAGACGTTGCTTTTGTCGTTCGAAAGCTTTTATATCGAAGTGAGAGAAAAGTTCTCTATTTATCCCGTCAATAATGCAAAAATCATTAAAATATTCAACACCAACACGACATGTTTCGGCCACAGACGGCCATCCTCAGGCGTTTTGATGCGTCGAAGGACCTGAGGATGGCCGTCTGTGGCCGAAACATGTCGTTTTGGTGTTGAATGGTGAATATTTTAATGATTGTTTTATTGGTGACGGACTGTGATACACGGACGTTTAATGAAGATGTGCAACAGGATGCTGAAATACAGAATTACGAAATGAAATAAGTTGTATTTGTTCTTAAAATATCATTATAAAAATAATGCTAATGATAAAAGCGCAAAGAAATATGGACGTAATATAAAACAATTTAAAGAGGAAAATCGCATTAACATTTAAATGAGTCTTACTTCTGTGGCACCCATAAGTTGTTATAATCGATAGATGCATCCCGTGGACTCATTCTATTCGAGAATTTATCGCTTGTCTTTATATCAGGAGTTCTATTTTTGTGCTTATGTCAAATGTTTGGTTATTCGAAAACTTTATATAAAATGGGCATTTCTCTAAATTAATTTAAGCTCATACTAAGAACCGCTGCATACTTTCCAGAAATGTCCATTCTTTGTTCTCATTTTATACAGGTTTTAAATTAATTATAGTGGGCTTACCTGAAGTTTGACCAGTAATTATCTGTCATTCGAATATTAAAAAGTAAGGGGACTGTAACATTTGCATTATAAATTAGGAAATATGTCATGTGCAGATGGGCCTGCGCACTCGATCCACCACTCTCTGAACTGTGGCGCTAAGCCTGACATCGGTAGTCTCTAATTTGTGATAACTCCCACTAATTATGAATAGCAATAAAAAGAAATAATTTCTTTGTAGCTGGAAAGCAAATATAGATATCCGTAACACTTTTCTAATAAAATAGTACGTATGACCATGAATGTCGACTTTCAAAATCCCGTTCTCAATGGCATATCAATTAAATGTTTATAAACACATGGGGAGACTTCGGCATTTGAATTTGCTGCATTGATATGGCATCGTAATTCAATGTAACTTTTAACCTAAACTCCAGAATATGTAATTTAGAGAGGAAACGAAAATCTAACCAGAAAATTGGGGTGAAATTTCAGACGCAATTCCTACTAAGTCCTTCCTGAAACCCTAAAGCAGCGCATTGCTCTGAATATTTGTGTTACTATATGCCCTTCTTGAACTGTTATACTGAAGTAAGTGTTACGTCACTATGCAATAATAGGTATAATAATGATGTAGCGCATGCGTTTGGCCCCAAAATATGGAGAAAGGAAATGGTTCCCACGGAGTAACATAACAACTTCAGTCTTTACATCATTTTTAATTACTTTACCGGGTTATTTAACAACGCACTATAAGACACGTAGGGAATTTTTCGTCAATCTTATGCGGAAACGAACTCAGAGTTATTCTCGTAGGATTGTGGCGTGGGATGCAAGAGAAAGTCAGTATACTCTATGTTCGGGCTAAAAGTCAGTTTTTGTGGCTGACGGATAAGTTCTGGGTACCAATTCTATGAAACTGAAGAAGAATAAAGTTAAATTTTCGAAGACTGACCGCCACTGCCTGTTACTTATGAGGTCAATGTCTCAATAGGAATACCCTTTTTTATGTCCTCAGAACTACGTTCGAAAATGTGGCAAAATGTGTTCGGCATTTCAAAGTGACATTTTCGTAGTAAAGATACAAAGCAAGAAGTGAAACAAGGGCCAAAGTGAGGACATACATG